AGCAAGACTCTAGAAAGTCAAGCCTAAAACTGTCAAAACTGTCGAAACTGTTACCTCTGCGTTGCCACTTGGACCCTCCGATCTGTCAGTCTCGCCAGTATGTACTAGTCCGTGGGGGTGGCATGGTCAAGCCTGGGTACAGCTAGTATGTTTCCCGTCACTATGACACCCATACAAGAGTCCACACAGAGCGAACTTAGACTACGGTAGGGCCAATCTCGGGGGGGATAATCCTATGCACACATTGGGTGTTAGTATGGGGTAGGTACTGGGTACTTCTCATCCCACAGGTATCTCATGATGCTTGCGGGTGGTGCTTCATCCAGGTTGGGGTCTGCGGGAATTCTCAATGGGGAAATTAGTTGGGACTGTGGATTCTTGGGCAGCCTGGGGTAGGAAGGCATCACGCTTAGGATAGGGGAGGGAGGGATATCGCATCTTCGTGGAAGGGCAGTTTGCTGCCCATAGAGTCTGCGGGATGAGGCACAGATGGGGGATGACTGCATAATAGTGCATATGCATGGACCCCACCTGTGCCCTGGTCGTCCTCAACATTAGAGTTGGGGTAGTGTCTGCACGAAGTCGTTTGGGTTAGTCGGACGGTAAGTGTTGGCGCAGATCACGACTTGCAATCTGAGCATTAGAACAAGTCACGGTACCATGGTGGTCCTCGCAATCCATCTGACCTCCGAATGGATGAGTACTACGGGCACCTCCTGAGGCCTGGCCACCACCCTATACTACACCCTGGACCTTTTCTAAACGAATTACAAATTGAAAAAAAAATGAAAAAAAAAAACAAGAATGGACGAGACAAGGGGAGCGGAAGACAAGTCTTGCGCCACCGAACATCGAGTGGAACGAAGGACTCAGTGGGTGATGGATTCAATACCACACTGGATTGCTCCCTGAAGCTTATGCTGAACTAACATGATAATTGGAAGCAGAATGATCTGCCCCAACATATCCAACTAGCACATATGGCTTTCAGAAGTGGATCCGTCCTCTCTCTCTCTCTCTCTCTCTCTCTCTCTCTCTCTCTCTCTCTCTCTCTCTCTCTCTCTCTCTCTCTCTCTCTCTCTCTCTCTCTCTC